GGTTGATGGCGGCTTCTTGGCCACCTCTTTCTGCAGCTTTCTACGGGCTTCTTCGGCTTGAGCCCGCGCCTGCGCTGATAGTGCGCGGCGCTTGCGAATGCGCTCCTCTAGTGTCGAACGATTTCGTTTGACACGGACCCATTCCATTGTTGGCGGCTTAGAAGAGGCGTCGTTCATCTGTTGTTGAGGCTGTTTGCCTCTCTTGTTCTTCAGATCCGCGTTGTAGCGGATCCCGTCAACTGACTCCATGGCCTTTGCGAATTGTTTCGCAAGGCGTTGACGTTGCCTTTGGCGGGCTCTCTTCGAGAGAGTCACCACGCCCTCTGTGGCAGAAGGGTTGGCTAGAGCAAATCTGCCCTGGTTGGGAATTGGAGGAATCTCACCCGATGTGACTTTGGCATCAAACGGGGCGAGATCTTCGTTGGTGTTTTCAACGTCTTCATACCAACGAGTTTTTCTCCTGGAAGAGAACTTTTTGGACTTGCGGGGGGAGGTTGATCCGGACGAGGACAACAAGTATTCCTCGAACTTCTGCTGGTCGAACTCGTATTCGACCTCCTCCACGACCGGGATTGAGATCCGCGGCTGCGATGCTCCGATGTCGGCAGCGAGATCGGCGGCTCCCACTGTGGTCGCCAGATTGTTCGCGGGAAAAATTGTGTTCTTTATTGATTCCATTGCACACTCTTGTAATAATTTATCGATTACAAAAATCCGGTCTTTTTATAAGATCCGGTTACAACGAGATCAAAAAAGAAATAAAAATTATAACTTTCCTTTTGAACGAATCACGAGCTCCTGTTTTGCGGTCACTCGCTTTGGTGGGTTCTTTGCCTGTGCCAGGGTTAATCCGTGGACCACCGCGCGATCTAGATCCAGTCGGATCTACACGATTTGACGGGTGTTATCTCACTAAGAAAATAACAGTCGGGGGGTACTATTTCACCAAGGAAATAATAGCCTTTAGTTCTCGGGATCAAAGGCCAAGCTTTGATCCTTTGATCCGGAGTATTACTTCGTGTAGATCTCAGATCTGATCTCTCTCTCGAACTCCTGCCTTTTGTGACGTGGATGCTCGCTAAGAACCAGATCTGAATGTCCAAGTCTTCAAGTCTTCAAAACTCCAAGCTCAGTTCTCAATTCGGCAGAGTTTCGGCTCCAAAAGTTCCAACCTCTCAAAATGAACCAAGGGGGGCCTATTTATAGGCAACCCTTACTGTGCCTTGGGCACAAGGTGGCCGGCCACCTTGGTGGCTCGGTGGCCGAGCCACCTTGAGGTGGCTCGGTTTCGGCCGAGCCCCTCTAGGTGCCGTTTTCCGTCGTTTTCCGTCTTTCGGTTCTGTCCGTGATTCGGTTGTGTGGTTGACTTGTTCGGACTCGATTCGTTGACCTGATTTGGCAGTAAATCCACTTCTGAGTTCGAGTCCGAAACTGATCTTGATTTGATCGTGATTCGTCCGGGTCCGCTCTTGGTTGGATAACTCGTTGATTCCTCAACCCGTTAGCTAAATTCCACACGCGAGTGGATTTATTCCGTTGTTTGCGTGCGGTTCGTTAGCCTCGTTAATCCGTTTTGTCGCGTATCACTTAGCTTCGGTGTTGTGGACTAACAATCGTGTCAGCATACGTCGTCCGATGGTCGGTTCGTCGAATCGGCGTCGTCGAGCTGTGTTAAAGGACCTATAGGTAGTTTTATACACCTACAGTCATACTAACCATGGTTCCATATACTTACCTTGTAGCAGAAAATGTGTGTATTTAAGGCATCGCCACTTTCTATCGACCAATCACACATGGAGAAATGATAGGAAAATTTTTAATGGTAAAGTGGAGAAAGATACTGATCCTATTTCATTATCTGGACATGATGTATTAAATCAGTGGCAAAATTACAATAATGTGGCATTTGTAAAAAAAATTTTGAAAAGCAACCAACACCAAAAGGTTGGAAAAAGAAGACTATTTTCTTTGAACTACCATATTGGAAAACATTATTGGTGCGTCACAACCTAGATGTTATGCACGTTGAGAAAAATGTTTGCGATAACATATTGAGTACTCTATTATGTCGAGATGGAAAAACAAAAGACAATCTTAATGCTCGTAGAGATTTGCAAATTTTAAACATTAGGAAGCCTTTGCATCCTAAAGAGATAGCTAGTAGAGCAGGAAAGTTTGTATTGCCTCATGCATCCTATAGCATGAGCAAAGAGGAAAAAGAAAGATTCTTAAAAGTTTTGAAGGACTTAAAACTTCCTGATGATTTTTTTTTCAAACTTCTCAGGACAAGTTCAGATTCGAGAAAGCATGATCATTGGCTTGAAGAGTCATGACTATCATGTTTTGATGCAACAACTCCTTCCATTAGCTATGAGAACATCACTTAGAAATGATGTAGGTCTTGTTTTGAATGACTACTGTAGCTTCTTCAGAGAATTATGCTCTAAGGTCATTGATGTACATTTGATAGAAAAGCTTGAGCAAAGTATTCCTATTATTCTATGCAAGCTTGAAAGGATTTTCCCTCCAGCGTTCTTTGATGTCATGGTACATTTGACTGTCCATTTAGCGAAAGAGGCTAAACTCGCAGGACCGGTTCAATATCGTTGGATGTACCCTATTGAGAGGTATGGTGAAATGAATTATATTCAATTTATTTTATATTTATTCTAGAAGTATAATTTATAATTTCTATGTAGGTATTTGCTTACACTAAAGAACTATGTACGAAATAGAAGCCACCCAGAAGGTTCAATTGCTGAGGGGTAATTGATGGAGGAGGCCACAATATTTTGTGCACGTTACCTTGATGATGTGGAGTCAAAACTTAATCGACCAGTTCGACTTCAAGAAGGTCCCCTTAGTACAGGAAAGAGTAAAAAACTATCGGCCTCAAAATTGTACCAAGCATATCGCTTTATACTTGATAATATGGAATCAATACACCCATATCGAGAGTATGTTGTGTGGATCTATTTTATATTTTCATTAATATTTTTTTATTTTAGTACTATATTGGTAATCCAGGTTATATGATAAACTTGTAAAGCAAAGACATTCTCATTGGGACAACCGCCAAGTCCAAGTTGAAGGACATAAAAATTTCGTTGACTGGTTTAGATCTCATGTAAGCTTTCAAAACAACTTTACTTAAACTTTATAATTTTTTATAATATCAATTTCTAATGCATTTATTACTTTTTCATAGATTAATATGTTAAAGAGGCAAAATGTTCATTTAGATGAGGAAGTGATCAATCTCGCTTTTGGTCCTTTGCCCGATGTTACATGTTATCCAGCATTTGGTGTCAATGGGTATAAATTCAAAACCAAAGCCGTCGAGGCTACAAGAACAACACAAAATAGTGGCGTTGTAACTGTGGGTGATGAGAGTAAATTATTTTATGGGGTAATCGATGAAATATTAGCTATACAAGTACCAAAAATGAAATCAACTGTTTTATTTAAATGCACTTGGTATGACTATAGAGAAGGATTGGGATGGAAGAAAGATGATTATAATCTTATATCCATTAATACATCTCGAAATAGCTACATAGATGAGCCATTCATCTATCCATCACAAGTAAGACAAGTGTATTACTCGAAGGATCCTAAAAATCAAAACTGGAGTGTTGTGTGTCATTGGAAGCCAAGAGATACTTATGAAGTTCCTGAAGAGGGGCAACATACAAAGGAGGAAATTGAAGATGAAGAAATTAATTATGTTCAGAGCATCGATCCATGTATCCCTTCAAAAGGCATTACAATTGATGATGGTAATATTGAGTGGGTTAGAAAAGATATGGGAATTGGCACATTTGTAAGTCAGAAAGATCTCAAGGGGGCTAAAAGTTTTATTGGGAAAAATAAAAAGAAATCTCAGGTAGTTTAGATGATATTTTATTTTAATTAAAAATTTATTCATTATATTTATTCTTTGTGCTTATCTTTCATTTAATACTCTGTTCAATTTATTCCTTGTGCTTATCGTTCATTTAATACTCCGTTCAATTTTAAGTGATGAAAGGATTTTTTTCAGATAATACAACATGCCGCCTAAACAAGTGATCATGATGATGAAGAAGAGAAGAAATATCATCGGGAAGAAGAAAAGAATATATGCTTAACCTAGCTCATAGAACTTTGAGGACACAAATAACACTAACCCACCAGATTGTCATCAGAAAACAATTGATGGAGGTATTTGTCTTATTTATTTAAAAGCTAAGAGTTTAGATATAGCCTATGACTTTTTTCAGTTTTAATGATTGTGCTGCATATTTTGGGAACACGCAGATTTTTGCAGCTTGGACCTATCATCTATGGTTAACCATACAAGTAGTAGAACTTTAGCGCATGTCTCAGGTGGTGATTTCTTTGTGCATGCCTCAGGTGGTGATTTCTTTCTCATCTTAGTGACTTTTCGAGTAGTAGTGTTGCTTGCGCACATATTTTTACAAATGTCATTCATAAGTATGGCATGCTCTAAGCTCTAAATATGTTCGCATTTAGTCATCTTCAGTTAGCAGCTCTAAATAATTTCTGCTTACTGCTCGCACAGTTCTATTGTGCATTTGTACCTGAACATAATGAGGTTTAATAGTACATAAATGAGGAAAGATAAAAATGATGGTTTAATAGTACTAGAATGTGATGCAATGTCAGGTTGTAGATATTGATGTGTTGAAGGGTCCAGTTTGCTTGCTTTCCTTTCAACGTGGATTGTAAGTAACACTACTGTTTTTTATAATTAATTATCTTCTTATTTCATTTGTTAAACAGATTAACCGGCTCATAGAATAATTTTACTGGCTGTTACTTTTGTTTTTTAGTTCCTTTTTTACTTTGTTAGAAGATACTGATACATTGTTAAGCAAAAATCTGAGATCATCTTATTATCTTCAGTTTCTTCACGCTTTTTATATTATATTTTATTTTTCTTTTCTCAAAGTGGATGGTAATCTGGTTGCAGAATATTGCTTTCAATTATGCTGATGTTCAACATGAGTTAATTAATCAAAGATAAACAGTTCATAAATTATCTATTTCATCTTAATTCAGTCCTTAATCTCATCTCTACACGTAACTGATTCAAGATTTTGACTCCAGGCTTCCTTGTAGTTCCTTGCCATGACTGTCCATTGATTTTGATAAAATGTTAGCTACATTCTCAAAAAGCAAATACTGAGCACGTAGAATAATACTTTCTAGAACAAAACAGGTCTGAGAATATATAGAAACCAAATACAAAGTGATATTAATTAAGTATAACATTGACCTTAAGTAAATTATCTTTTGAAATTTCTAACATTTTCTGTCGTGTCTAAATATTTAGGTGAATATGGAACATATGAAATCGAAATGACAAGATCCTGCATACAATATTCCTTTGTCCTTTTCTCCTCATTATGTTTGCCTTTTAGGTGAATAATACTTTTAATTGTCAATGAAGTTTGAATTATAACCTACAAGTTCTACTCACTTTTGGGGGTTGTAATTCATAACCTATCTATGAGTATGAACATTGTACTACTTCCAACTTTTGGAGCCTTTTTTCATGAGCAAATAGTCAATATATAATTTTATTATATCATTCTTTGTCTTTTAGCTTCCCAATCTATTCGTCCACAACGGACTGCGCCCTCGATATATCGTTGTAATGTTGTTCCTCTGACTCCTATTATTGATGATGGCACACCTATTTTTAATAATACAAGACCAGCCGTTGGTGGCCTTGATGGGGATACTCACTCTGTTGAGAACACAATCAATATGGAGGTTCCTGCAGGTAATTTTTTTTGGTTATCAATCAATTAATTGGTTATCAATCAATTAACTTCTTTTGGTTTATTTGGTTTCTTGTCGTCTGTTTAAGACTTCTAGACGTACTGGAGTTCTCCCTAATGCAAGTTACATACTCGTCAAAAAATGTGACGAGTATTCATTTAGGTACCTTTTTTTCTTCAATCCTGTATATATAGAGAATAGATGTACGGTTGCAAAAATCTTCTTTTTGAAAACATTTTCATATATACACACACACGTACCCATTAGAGTACTTCCAGCGTCACTCAAAACAATCGCTATCTTTAAGATGATATCTTCCTATGAGTTCTATATATTAAGAATCAAACACTAATCAATATTGCATCTACAGCTGCTACTACATGCCAAATTATAGTGCTCAAATCAGGTAAGATACATGATCCCAATTTTTTAAAGAAAAAAAATAAACCAACTCATCAAAATGAAACACACACGTAAGGATTTTGGACCAAGGCAACATCAATTTGATTTTTATTGATTGTACACATGCGGATTAGATATGAAACAAAGCCCACCACTTGAAGGCGCATGCCTATATACATCCAAAGATTTCTTTTTTCCTTTTTTGCTTAATTTTGGTGACATCCATTCGAATTGGGCATACCTCATATACAAGCATGTATCCCATCCATTCAGAAATATTGACATCAACCTTCTCCTCAATGGTGACCTCCTATGTTTATTAATATTCATTTGAAAGAACTTCAATTAACTTCTATTATGATAGTTTTGTTTGTAAAATAAACCAATAGTATGGACTAACATATTCAATTGTCATATGCATGTTTAAGCAGCTAATGAGAATGGTAAAAAAGTTAACAGGAAACCCACTAAGTTGGAAACCTTTCGTCCTCCTCCCGGACAGAAGCATATAGTAACATGGATTAGTGGACAACCTATAAGTGATACGGCATTTCAGCTTTCACAGGAGCTTGGGTATTACGCACGAATGGGCAGCTTATTTCCTTTACATAAGGAGTGGAATGATGAGTCTCGAGAAAAGATGGATGATATTATGGAGCTTCTAAAGGTAAATTTTAATTATTGATTAATTTGTACTTCTAAATTAATTTATATAAATTATCTAGGCTTTCTTGTAGGATAATTTTATTTGGGAAAGCGGAGATGAAGACCCTAAGAACCCTAGATTCAAGATGCCAATAAATTTGATGTTCGTTCATCGTTGGTGTACTCTTACAGTGCAGTCAGCAGTAAGATCTTGGAAAGCAAAAATAAAGAAAAAGTATTACAAGGAATGGAAAGATGCGTCTCCTCAGCAACGTGATCAGATTAACTTTGAGAGGATCACTCATAGGGAGCGGGAAGACTTTGTGAACTATATAGACAATCCCAACAAAGAGGTAAGTTTTAAATTTAGAAATGTATATCAATTAGTTTATTTTTTATTCAGGTTTCTTGTTGTAAATAAAAAAAGGTTCAATTGAAATTTGCTCATAATATATTATAACGAATACATGTAGAGAAAACAATTTGTTTTGTTATTTTTGGTCATTTCTTATTGCAGGATGAAGCTGCTAGAAATTTACAAAATGTTTCAAAAAAAGAAACTTCGACATTGTTTGGGACAAAAGTCTATGGCTCGAACTAAACGTAAATTGGTAATTGGCAACACTAAGAATTAAATATTTTGTCAAGATGCACATATCTAGTTATTAACATTTAATTAGCTCATTCATGTTTCTTTTTCCTGCTTTACAGAAGGAGTTAGATCCAGAAAATTATCATGAGTTTGATATATTTATTAAGTGCCATAAGAAAAAGATGGGTCTTGGAGACTATCCACATGAGAAAAATAAGAAAAAGATGGGTCTTGGAGACTATCCACATGAGAAAACTCAAGACGTTTGTGTAAGTTTTGTTTGTGATTTTATTTTAACTTAATCATATACAATATATGTTGTATGTTATGAATTTAATCAAGTACATGAGAAGGTTATTAAAAGGATTGAGGAGCTCAAAGTTCAACTTCAAGATGTAGATCCAGTAACAAAGCCCATCAATTAAAACTATCAACTGTTCTTGATGAGGTAGCGGGAAAGCACCATGGGGGATATGAAAGAGGATATGGTATTGGATACAAAGGAATGACAACGAGTCACCAGTTTTCTACATCTTATAACGTCGAGAGTAGTATAAACAACTCTCAACTTCAAGAAAAGCTAGATGTTGCTAACAAGAAAATCCAAGAGTTATATGCTGCTAATAAGAAAATTCAAGAGTTACACGAGGAGATGCAGAAAAGAGCTGAGGAAGCGGAAAGAGAAAAGGCACGGGAAAAAGAAGAAAGAGATTATCAAATGCAAGAAATGCAAAGGATAGTGTCTAGCTTTCAAGCCATGGCTGGATTAAACAAACAACCACAATAATTGGATGCAGGTACATCATATTCTCTATTTTTATATCCAACTTGCTATTATATGTTTAAAATAGGGATATTTTACAAGTTCGAATATATTTTCTAGAAAGCTTGTTGTTCACATAATTTTCATAATAAAACACCTTTTGAATTGAACTGGAGTATGTAGTTTAAGTGTTAATATTACACTCTATGCAAGATGGGAACCTACAGTATTCCAGTAGCATGATTACATAGATGTACTGATGTACATATTAGAATTGATTGAGCAATTTCTACTTCAGATCCATACATCACTAATATTGAATACCTATTTGTCAAGAACAAAAATATATTCCAGTACAGAAAAAACAATAGCTAATAAATTATTTCTTCCAAAGGATGAAATAATGCCTGGATGCTAAAGGTTAGTTCATCATACAATGAAGGATATGTATTGCAACAAATCCTTTCGACCCACAACTAGAAATTTTGCCAAATAGAGAGGTGTTAGCGAACACAAGTCGTATTTTGGGATCAGTTTGTACGTCTCCATGTGAAATAACTCAGAATTCAACACCCATGAAAGCCACTATAATGAACTTAAAGGCCAGGCACATGCATGATATGGATGGAGGTTGCAAGGCGATGAATGGTCGAGGGGACTCAAATTTGCTACAATGGAGTGGTGGGAGAAGTCATCGGATTAAACATTATGAATGAACGAATTGTAAAATTGATAAGCTACGGCCTCATTGAACTTTATCGTTTGAATACTACTTAGTTCTTGTTTATTTCTTTACTATCGTATGTCAGTTGGATAATTTTTGTTTGTTAGATTTGTTATTGAGTCTTAGAAGTTTTACTGTGTAGAGTTAGGAACCTTATAAATTAATTGTCCAAATTAAAAATTTTGTGATTGTTCATCAATTTTTGGATTTGCTTACACAGGTTGTATGCAACAGTTCTTAGTTCTTTTTTTAATTGATCAAAGTTACATTTTTACAGTGGTAATGATTTGTTTCATTTGAATGATTGTCACGTTTAAAGTGGATGAAATAGCTGATGCAAAATAGGTGAATATCAATGCTATGACTAAATAATAGAATAAGCTATAATATTTTTTGCTATTATATATTATTGATTTTTTTTTCAAATCTTATAGGAACGGTTGCTTTCCGTTGTTAATACAGTTTAGCAACGGTTGGAATTTAATGACGCGATTATTTTTTTATTTATGAAATAAAAATTTAAACCTTATAGCAACGATTAATTGCTTTCCGTTGGTAATACATTTTAGTAACGGTTGATTTTTGCTGACGTGGATTTTTTTAATTTTTATAAAAAAAACTCTAATAGAAACGGTTGCGAACTATTGCAACAGTTGTTGATCGTTGCTATAAGCTAATTGCAACGGCATTAGTAGCAACGGACCATTTGCAACGGTTTTAACCATTGCTAATGTATTAGAAACGGTTGAAACCGTTACAAATAGGCTTATTTGAAACGGTTCTAACCATTGCTAATAAGGCCTTTTGTAGTAGTGTAGAGCCATTCGTGCTGATAACGTGTTGTAATCTTGTTGTTATATCTACATACATCATATATATCAAAAGTAAGAATCAAACATGAAATGTAAATGTAAATAGACAAGAGAAGAAATAGGGAGAAAAGTGATTCTCATTTTATTCATCTTCCTCATTCATCCATACATTTTGTCTTCCATGGATTACATTATATATATAGATGTGGAAGAAAATACTAAAAGTCATAAGTAGGTGAAGAGACTTCTTCTAGTAATGACCACAGTCATTGTATTTATATTTACAACAATCTAAACTAACTCATACAAATACGTTCAACTAATTTCAATTAGATTTTCTATGACTCTAGGGTTAAAAATACATATCTGCATGTTTTTCACCAAAAAAATCAATAGAACTCCATAAAACTCTAAAGATATGATAAATAATTAGGATGGATCAGAGTACATTTAATGAAAAGACTTTTAAATGTATATGAGAATCAAAGGTGGAAAGAAGCCAGCTGGTACTTGTCTAAAGACTTTTCTACCAAAAAGACAACATTCGAGCTATTGAACGGATGCCAAAAAACCCTCTCTTCCTCTCCCTAATGTAGCTGGCCTTGGATGTCAAAATCTATAAAATTTCTGATTAGAGTTTTCGAGCCATTATTATATGGATATATCGCTTAACGGGTGATCGCTTTTGACTTAAAACCCAATAAGGTTTTTTAACACTAAAAAAATCCTTCTAGAGACCTTTATTTAAGAAACTACATGCAGAGACTCTTATAAACTAATAAAGAAAGGACTCTACCTGATCTCTCTATGTGTATTATTATGTACTAACATATCAATACAGATATCAACTTCAAATAAGCTCAAGGTATGTGAACAAAAGTGCAAGATGAGCTCAAGGTATATGAAGTAAAGAAGATGAAGTGCTTAAACATATATAATATAAATTTTATATTATCTTTACTTATTATTGTACAAGCCTTGATGACGCACAACACATACACACACATAGTGTTTAGAATACACTAACACATGCTTAGTGTGTTGGTTAATAATAGAAATCTCCTATGTTAACCATTAGAGTTTATAGTTAAAGAATGAGTCTCAAATTACTTCATTCATATCATTTTACCCATTAGTAGTCGACCAATAAGATTTGTAGTCGACTACATGTACACTATTTGAAATATTAAGTTTCTGTTATTTGACAGTGTAGTCGATTATAGACAATAGTAGTCGACTACTCTTGCCTTAGACTTAATTTCAAGTTTCTATCAAATAACAGTGTAGTCGACTAATATACAGTGTAGTCGACTACTCATGACTTAGACAAATTTTTAAGTTTCTGTAAAAATACAATGTAGTCGACTAATGACTATATGTAGTCGACTATTAAGGTTAAATTTAATTTTCAAGTTTCTGTCAAATTACAGCGTAGTCGACTACTAGACAGTATAGTCGACTAATAAAAGTTAAATCTGAATTCCAGACTTTCTGTGTTTACAGCGTAGTCGACTAATGACCAGTGTAGTCAACTATTAAGAAAAATCTTCACTTCACAGAGTCTGTTTGAACTCAGTGTAGTTGACTACTAAGAGTTATAGTCGACCACAGAGACAGCTTTTCTGACATAAGTTTGAATTTATGACTGTTTATAGTTGTTTTTTATTCGTTAATTAGCTTAAAACTTATCTTTTCAAGGGCCATAAATAGGTTATAAGTTTAGAAATTTGCACCATTCATTTCTATCTATAAGCTTTAACTTGTGCATTCTCAAGAGTTCTAAAAATTTAGATTTTTGCCTAAGTGTTGAGAAAACTGTAATCTGAAATAGCCTTTGATCTTCATTACATATACAAAGTATTAAGGTATTTTTTAGAGATTAAAAAGTTCCTAAAGCCACTACTACACATCACTACATAATCAAGGCTTATAAAAATTGTGTTGTTGATTCAAGAAAAGTTCTCTCAGGTGTAAGAGTTGTGATCTCTTGGTGAAGAGATTATGTGCAATTTGCAAGGTCTTGCAAATTG